GATAGAATGAATGTAAAACTAATGTTCTCCCATGTAAACTATCATATAATTCACAATAAAATATTTAAAAAACAAAACACCATGATTTGGGTGTGGTGCACCTTTGTCCTCAAACTGATCTCTTTGTTCAGAGTAGAATTGCTCAATAGAGTTTCCAATGCTTTAATCTTTATAGAAGCTGAGCCACGTCTTTTCCCATTGTGGGCCTGGTGGGTTTGAACCAACACTTTAATTAGCAGTCAAGCACTTAACTGTGGTGCCATTAAGATTCCTTTATGAATTCTGATGATTACTTCTAATTCCTCAGTTTTCCATCATTCCCACATAATTTTCCTTACTTGCCTCAAGTCACAGAAACTTGTCAAGCACCCTAGAATGCTGGGAAATTCCCTTTGGATCTCATCTCTATTCTTAAGTAGCTTATCAAATAATTTTTTTCTAGGCAACTTCAGTACTCTCCCTCACTAGCAAAAGTTTTTTTTTTTGTTTTTTTTTAATGCCTTATATCTGAAGCCCTAAGAGTGATATTATGTTTTTTGGGGTTTTTTTTAAATGATCTTTGTACTCTACTATACTATTTGAACACTTCAAAGTGGTCTTAAACGACTTTTATAAGCAAAGGGTAGGATGGAACCAACTCTAATAGGACATGGACAGACAATCACTAACAGTATACAACTTTGAAGCCCCCTTCTTTAATAGACAACTAAAATCAAAAAGCCACTATAAAGCCCAATGAAGTCTTCATCTGTTGCTCTGACTATGAAAAGTATAGACTGAGGGCTGACATTTCACACTTAGTGTGTTGTTGGACAACTTTTCATAAGCCGACCCTGACTTTCAGAAAATGAAAAGAAAATGGCAGAATTATTATTCTAAAAATGCAGAATCTAATCAAAGGAGCAGCTACTCTTTTCAGAAGTACCACTGTGGTGGCATCATGGGAAAGCCCAGATTGCCTGACATGCTAATAACCAGCTTTTTAAGGTCAGTTCCCAACAGTTCTCTGGGTTTATTGGAGTCGAGTCTATGTTCTATGCTGAAGGCAAAGAGGGAGAAGAGGATATGTGGACATAAAAACAAATGTTAACTTGTTCCACACCACAAGGTATTTGTGCCAAGGTGACCAATGTTCTCTTCCTGAGACCCAAGAGTGAGTTACTTAAAACCAGAAGGGAAAGGTGTTTTCTTCCACATCAGTCCCACTTTGGAGACATTCTATTAGTGACATTTTTCCCTCCCCCCATAAATAACAATGAAGAGTTCTGTGTGCTAACACCATAGCGTTAAGAAAAAGTAAAGCAAAATTTTCTAAGACTTGATAAGAATAACATTTCAAATGATGCAGTCACCAGAACTACACAATGATCAATAATACACACACTTCCCTTGGCATCTCCAGCACCGTCCTGTGCCTGGTCTGATTTGGCATCTCCATTTTTGACATAAATGGTTAAGTGCTTATCTACTAGCTGAAAGACTGGTGATTCAAACCCACACAGAGATGCATAGGAAGAAAGACCTGGCAAGCTGCTTCTGAAAGGTGACAGGTTTAAAAACCCCTATGGTGAACAAATCTAGTCTTCAAAACGTGGAGCTGTCATGAGTCCAAACTGACTAAATGGCACCTAAAAAAATAAACAAGTCTTTACACTTTTCAGCATCCCACAATTGATGCACCAAAACAAAATTAAATGAGAAAAATATACAAGCCTAATGCCATCCAGTCGGTTCTGACTCATAGTAATCCCAAAGAGCAGGGTAGAACTATCAGGAGGTTTCTAAAGCTAGAAATCTTTGTGAAAACAGATTGCCACATCTTTCTCCCACATCTACTGCCAAGGCTATTGGGTTCAAACCATTGACCTTTTGATTAGCAGCCGAGACCTTAGCCACTATGCCACCAGGGACCCTTAAAGAAGAGAAGTAGACCCATATTGTATCTCTGCTGGCTTGACTCCCTTAGTCCTATCACAGCATCAAACCAATCCTTCCTTGTACATATCCCCAAAAGAAAGCATGCATTCCATAAAGAACTCATGAGCTCATTTCCAGTTCAACCCTTCAGAGGCCCTCTAGGACAACTGGACCTCTAGAGGGTGTGCTACTGCCTTACCCAGAAGCCCAAGTCCACTGCCATCAAGTCGATTCCTACTAATAGCAACACTTATAGAGGATTTCTGGGGCTGTAAATCATCTCAAGAGACGACTGCCTTATCTTTCTCCCACTTAGCATCTGGTGGGTTTGAACCGCTGACCTTGTGATTAGCAGCCTAGTGCCTAACCCAGAGTGGCACCAGGGCTCTTCATACCAGTCTTCTTCTGCCAAAATGTTTTGTGAGCTCCATATTGTTGCCAGTGGGCGGAAGCTATAGCAATCCAAGGATGTTCAGAATAGACTTTACTGCATCGTTGGTATGAAGCTATATAAAAAAAGAAAATAAATAAATAAATACATTTTAAAAACAAGAATAACAACAACAGAAAAACCCATAATAAGATTTGATACTAATTTGCAATGTTTTTCAGTTGAAGCCAGGTGGTGTAATTTCTCTATAAGATCATTGTCCCTCACGATATATGGTATTATCATTTATGATAAAACTTGTGCCACGCTTGATGTTAAAAAAAAATGCTTTGTTTTTGTTTCTTTTTAAAAATAGGTAATTTCTTAGGAATGTCCGGAATATTTACTCTGACTATTATAGGACTCTTATTAAATTCTACAAGTTTTAAACCAGGAGTTGAAGCATTTCTTCTTGAGTGAGTCGTTAGCATATTTTCACTTTATTTCATACATCAGAAGCGATAATGTTGGAGTAGCAACTACATGCAATTCTACATGGTCAAGGGAAGATATTACTTTGAAAACTACACAACTGGAAATGTTTCCTAAAATCTTTTTGTTCAATCCTCTAATGTTAAGCAAAATTTGTAGCATGGCCTTGGGTTTATGTTGAATTAACTAATTCCGCAGCTGTCTGACTGTCAACTCATCAGATTCTGATGTATATTCTAGATATCCGCTAGACAAGGATTAGGATTAGGATTAGGCAAGCTATGTATGTGCATCAAACACAAAATTTTAAAGGGTGATTTAAAAAAGCAGCAATCAAGATAAATATTTTAATGCAAATTTAATAAAATTAAAAATAATACCAAATAAAGCCTGAATGAACAATGTTATAAAGATTGGATCAGTAGTTTTAAATGTTCATTTTGCCTCAGGCTCTAATGTGGCTCAGCATACCAATGCTACTAGAATGGAAAACCAGTATTTTAAGGATGATGCAGAGATGCTACCATAAAAAAATTCTAAATTGAAGCTAGGCTTCAATGAAGAAGGTTTTCAGTGTTAAAAGAAAATAGGGCCAAATCCAGTGTTAGCAAGGCTATGGGTACAAATATGAAAATTGTTCCTGTTTTTTGGGAAAGCCCCCAGTTTAGGGGTGAGTAAAGTCTGTGTCAGCCTAGAGAAAGGGAGTTTTCTGTAGTGCCCCCAACACAGAGTGAGTACTTGACCTAAATCACCCAATGGCAACAGAAGTGTTAACAGAAGTCCTGAATGTAAACAATGATTTTTGGAGTTGAGAAGTAGTTAGGAAAGCTAGAATGAAATCAAAAGTCAGAAACTCAAGGATTCTGGAGCACTTTCCTATAATTTCATGTTATTTACAATGGATTTTCATTGTACTAGTAACTGTTTCATTGTTAGGTGTATTTGAGTCCATTCCAAGTCATGGCGACCCTATGTACAACAGAAAGAAATACTGTCTGGTCCTGCACTATCCTCAGCATCATCGATACGTTTGAGCCCATTGTTGCTGCCATTGTGTCAGTCTATCTCATTGAGCATCTTCCTCTTGTTCACTGACCCTCTACTTTACCAAGAATGATGTCCTTTTCCATAGACTGGTTCCCCCCACCCCCCGATAAATGACCCAAGCTTGTAAGACAAAGTCTCACCATTCTGCCTTTAAAGGAACATTCTGTCTGTACTTCTTCCAAGACAAATTTGTTTATTCTACTGGCAATATTGTTTGTCAGCACCATAATTCAAAGGCATCCATTTTTCTGACGTCTTTCTAGCAGCTAAGCAGAATTAGTTGGACTGATTGTGGGAAGAATTTAGGTAATAAATATTTTAAACGAATGTTTAATAATCTATAGGAAGTGAGTCCCTTCACCTTCCTTCTCTCACTGAAAACTATGCCTCCCACGACGACCTTGTTTCCTTTTACATTTCTTCAACTGTGGTGCCTTTCTTATCTACAGCCCTGGTTCATCCTACAAGTGAGAAGATGATCTCTTCATTTCTCAATGCCATTTCTAAATCAGTTTTTCTCATTCCACGAAGAATTCACTTTCGAAACTCATCACGTTGCCATCCTCTTCGTGGTTAGGTTATTTATAGAACCCTTGGAGTCCAGGTGTGGTGCTGTAGGATAAGCACTAGACTGTCAGGTCATTTTGAACCACAAAGTTGGTGGTTCAACCTCACCAGCTACTCCTCTGAAACCCTATACAGGGTTGCTATGAGTTGACTCAGCAATACTTAACAACAACTACATAGAACTCTTAGTCACATTCTTCATTTTGTGAATGTTTTAGCTGTCATTTCACTGTGATCCTCTCCAAGGTTACTCTATCACCATTCTTAGTGATGTCAATATCCCTACAATTGATTCTTCCATTGATGCAACTCAAGTTCTTTGGGCTTCTGCCTTCATACAAGCATGTTCACCATTCTACTTCAGCCACCAACTTATGTGGTATGTAAGTTTGTGCTGCTGTAACAGAAATATCACAAATGGATGGCTATAGATAACAAATTTATTTTCCTGCAGTTCTGAAGGCTCTAGAGGCAAGGATACTTTCAGCTTCTAGGACCAGTAATCCTTGGGCTTGCAGATTCATCTACCTCTGTTTGTGCATGCCTCTAAACTATATTGTTAATAGCTGAGAAGTGAATAGGTTTAGGATACCCCCTACACTGGGGGTTTCATTAATGTTGTTGTTGTTGTTGTTGTTGTTAGGTGCCATTGAGCTGGTATCAACTCATAGCAACCCTATGCACAACAGAATTAAATTATGCCTGGTACTATACCAACCTTACAATCATTGCTACACTTGAGCCCATTGCTGCTGCCATGGTACCAATCCATCTTGTTGATGGTCTTCCACTTTTTCACTGACCTCCCACTTTACCAAGCTTAATGTCTTGTATCTGAATAAGATTACATCCACAGATACGGGAGTTAGTATTCCACAGATATTTAACCCATTGCCACTGAGTCAGTTCAGACTCATGGTGACCCTTACTTCTTTCATTCTTCTATTTGTACATCACTTTGTTAAAAAGGAATTCCCTAAACAACTTATATAAAATAGATATTACCTCCATACCAGACTGCACACTCTTTTATTCCTGACAAACTGACAGGCAAGTGATGACCCACATCCCATATCTTGTTCTAAATCTCTCTGGAACTTCTGGCAATTCCTTGTCAATGTACTGCTGAAGAAAATTGAAAAATAGTTGCAGCAATCCATTGACAAGGAGCTACCAGAAATTCAAGCCAGATTCAGAAGAGATCCAATCGGCTTGAAGAGATCCATATTTGTGCCCATTCCAAAGAAAGGTGGCCCAAAAGTATGTAAAATAATTGAACAACATCATTAATATCACATTAAGAAAAATTCTGCTGAAGACAATTAAAAAGCAGTTTCAGCTGTATGTACATCCTTTTGTTAGAAAGAAATTCCCTAAACAACTTATATAAAATAGAAATTACCTCCATACCAAACTGCACAATCTTTAATTCCTGACAGACAGGCAGGTGATCACCCTCATTCCATATCCTCTTCTAAATCTCTCTTAAATTTCTGGCAACTCCTTGTGAATGAACTAGTACAACTGTTTTTGAATTATCTTCAGCAGAATTTTACTTACATGTGGTATTAATGATATTGTTCAATGATTTCCACATTTCATTGGGCCACCTTTCTTTGGAATAGTGGGCAAAATATGGATCTCTTCAAGTCACCTCCAGTACTGCATCAGTTTGCTGGAACATATCAATTTGTATTCTGCCAATTCCTGGAGCGTTATTTTTTGTCAATGCCTTCTCTGCATCTTGGACTTCTTCTTCCTTCAGTACCATTGGTTCTTGGTCATATGCTACTTCTTGAAATGGTTGAACATCAACCAGTCGTTCAATATGTTACCCATAGAATCTTCAACATTGTCACCCGAGGCTTGGATTTTTCTTCAGTTCTTTCCACTTGAGGAGTCCTGGTGTGGCTCTGTAGGATAAGTGCTGTACTGCTAACATCAAGGTAGTCAGTTTAAGTCACCAGCTGCTCCTTGGAAACCCTATACATGCCACTGGGTGAGTTCAAACCATCAACCTTTAGATTAGCAGCCAATCACAAAGTGTTTGCATCACCATGATCGTCAAAGAGTCTCAAGAACAGATTCAGGTTAGCAGTGTTTAAAACTAAATCCTCCTCCTATCTTAAATGGCATCCATATGCCTTTTTAATGTTTTCTATTTATTGTGTTATAATATATGGACATTAAAAAGACAAAATGCTCCTGTACAGAGAGGAGCTCTGGTAGCAAAATGGCTATGAGTGTGATGGCTAACCTCAAGGAAAAAGAGGAGGCTTTCTGTTCCCATAGAGATTCACAGCCTCAGAAACTCTATACAGAGTCGCTATGAGTCGGAACCGACTCCAAGGCACATAACCAACCATACAGAAAGATAGAAAGAAATAAAGTGTAAAACATAGCCTCTGATAGTCCCAACAACCAAACATGAACAATATTGGAATTTGAATGTTCTTTTACAAACTGTTTGTCTATAACTAATAAGAACCTGCATTCTAGGAATGATGTAGGGTTTTCCTAGGCTCTGAAAAGCTTGAATATTTGCATTCTCATGAGTTCAAAATGGAAAATCTACAGATGGCATTTATATGAATAAAAAAATCCTTTCACATCTATCAAAAACTAGGCAAAATCATAATTCTATCACTGTTTAAATCAAGCTTGAGAGTTTAACATTCCTTTTAAAAAGAAATTATTTTAGATTTTCCTAATGAAACAAAATGGGATCGTATTTCACTCTGTTGTACATGGGGTCTTCAAGAGCTTGGAGCTGATTTCAGGTTAATGTGCCAGACTGCAAAGCCATTTGAATAACAAGGTCGGTGGTTCAAGCTCACCAGCTGCTTCTCGGAAATCCTATCCAGGGTCACTATGGTTCGGAACCGACTCAATGGCACTTAACAACAACAACAACAATTTCAAAACAAGAACTTTGCATTCAGGATTCTTGAGCCAAATGAATTACAATGACAGAATGATTTTTTTTTTTTTTTTTTTTTTTTTGCTGTTAAGGGCTCCCAAACTGGTTCCACCTCATAGCAACCCTGCAAAGGGTTTCTGAGGAGTGGCTGGTGGATATGAATTGCTGATCTTGTGGTTAGCAGTCCAGTGTTTATACAACAGCCACACAGAGACTGAATGATAACGTTCTATTAAATAGCATAGCCACAACCTACACATGTCTGTTAAATTCAGTCCCAAAAGAGTTAAATTGTGGTTTAAACTGGTTAAAATTGCTTTAAGATTATCTGTTTGCTTGACTTTGCACTCCGTTCTCCACAATTAGATTTTAAGACCCTTAAATCTTGGCAAATTTCCTTACTCACCTGTATTTCCTTTTAATGCATTTCACAGTCTCCCATTGATAAATCTTGTAATAAATATACATTAGATTAGTTAACTATATTTTTTTCTGAAAATACAGATTCTGGAATTGCCTATCATTTGTTTCATTTCTTATGGTGTTCACTTTTGTTGGACTTCTAATCCCTGCACAAACATATTTACATCTATCATTTTCTGATATATATTTTTCATTAAATATTTACTTCACACTGATTGTATTGAGGTAAGTACACCATTTGATATGTTTCTATTATAATAAATTAAATGAGCCTAAAGATAATCTTTTAGATAATAAAAATGCTTCATATTTTAGGATGAATAGAGTCAACTGTTAAGATATCTGAGGAAACATCAGATTTTTTTTTCCAGTTTTAATCAACAGGTAATGCAAACACCTTGTAAAAAATGTTGAATGTTAGAAAGAAGAAAAAGAAATTTTTCGAAATTTTATTATCCAGGAGAAATCATTATTTACATTTTGAATATTTCATCTTATTATTTTGTGAGCTTTCAGAAGCTATGTCTATC